AGCCAATAGATGCACCTGACTCATCAAACTTTTGACCAACCACTCATTCTAAATATTGTTGAGTGAGGGCGCTATTTACTAATGAGAGGAATCTTTTAACAAATTCAACAGATATATATATATATGGACGCCCTCTGGCGGAGTGGAGTGGATATCTCTCGTTTATATCTGACAGGGGTATTTTGTTATTTATTTTTATTGCGACGAACATAGAATTTGCCATGTGGTAGTTGCGCCGCATATTTAATATGCATACTAAATACTTTTAACATGGTAAATTACTTTTTATATCTACATGATTAATTAATTATCCACTTCGTCCCAATCGCTATTTTCGCTGATAATCAGTTAAAGGGCGATGGTCGTCGCGCCGCGTCCTGTTCGATATGGGACTCATAGCGACGTATACAACGCATGGAAAATACGTTGTTTATTTACATGAAATTTGAACACGCGCTGCGCGACGACCACCGCTTTAAATTAAATTTACATGGACAGATAAATTTACACTTGAATGCATTTTTCACTTATTAATTCGTGAACTTAAAACTAATTCAATATGCTCAAATAGTGGAATTAAACGCAAGTGAAATCGTTTCACAGTATTTAATCATTATTTGATAACCATGTCAATTCATTGCCATTGACATATGGACCACATGGAAGTGACCCACATCGACCCTCTACAAAATACAACAACGCTCCATTGAGGTTTGCGCTACTACCATCTCTTCCTTCAGGATTACGGTCTACACAGATAAATTCCGTGTTTGTTTGGTCATAGTAATCGGACATCAAATAGCCATAATACTCTCTGGTCCACTCAGTTGACGGGCATTCATTACGAGCAGGAACCATTAAGACGGTACCACGAGAACGAACTCTGCACACTGCACATACTGCATCATGATCGTGCACAGCTGACAAAGGGCTGAATGTGTTCATCTGATACTCTGAACCATACATCAAAGCCCTGTACCCTCCGGTACCACTTACTACGTCGTCATGAATAGGATTCAATGGCAGACATTGGTAGTTAGAACCACTACCTTTATGAATGTGACGCGCTACTCCCATGACACCTAGTGGGCAGAATGAGAATACAGAGAACACGATATCTGACATTCCATTACAAGCTTGAATAAGCGTTGTCTTCATGAAATCATGGAAAAATCATACAAAAAATCCATATGTGTCCCGAACATTATTACAATTTTATTATACATACCTTCATAAACTAGTTCAGCAGTATCTTCACATGTCGATCTTCCCCATCTCACATACACAGATCCAGTCGTTCCAATTACATTGGTTGATGTACGATCATCACTTCCTGGTCCATCATCGTTATCGTTGTCATTGTCATTGTTGGACTCCGCAGATCCAATGCATGGAAATCCAGCTGCTCGAATGAAAATAATCTTTGAATAGATTGTGGTATCTACATGTATCCTATCCTATGTGCAGTGTATTCTGTGCATTTGAACAATTACATAATTTATATTAAAACAGATGGCGCCCAACTGCTGTCGTTGGTGGCGCACTTTTCATTGACCTCCGTGTCTGCGTGAAAGTGGATTACTGTTACATGCATCCGTCAATTGACTCTATCTTAGTCAATTATAAATTGATTGGTATCTTGTGTTATTGATTTAGAATTATGCTTTTTATATTTGTTTAGCTGTAGAAAGACATTTCAATGCTTGCTTTCTATTTGCTATGTACAATTCATAGCTGCACTATTTGATAAAAAGAGATAACAGATTAGTATGAATGACGTAAGTTCATTATTATTACACTACTTACGCTGTTTAAGGTTACTGTTAAGAGGCTACGGTAAATGATTAGTCCCAGTTCAGACGCAGTCCGAAAACTTATGTGCATCCGTGCGTGCGTCCGGACCTATATCTTAGACATGTACACACACTTCATACGCAATATTATACATATGCACATCAATTTGTTTCACAATATGATTCAAGATGGCGGCCATTTATGTGCTCAAAAGTGATCAAAATTATGCATTTCTGGCATTCCGGAACCGGATCTCGGCTATTTACACGTGGTACATACACTGGCCACTTTGTTCTTATTAATGCTGTTCCAAAGCAATATCTCTCAATATGAACAAGAATTCGTTTAGCGATAAGACACAAGATGACTGAATGTCAATCATTTTAATGATAACAAAATCATCATAACAGAGCATCAGCTTCTGGATCCATATCTCTGACATGTTTATGTTCAAACTATATTACTACAAACAAAACTATATATCTTAAATGTTATAACTAACGCGGACTGTACCATGCATGGCTTATTTTACCTGTTTAGCCTCACTTGTATTACTGAGATTACTGTACATTAATACACTGTTAGGGAATTGTTGGTGCATTACTGTTAGTACATTATTATTAGAAATTGCAGGTCTAAGATTGTTATACATTGTAAGAAATTACATAATTGTTAACTTGTATTTTTTGATCTACTGATTCACTTTCACTGTAATTATCAGTAATATTGTTAGCTAAAGTTTATTGATACATTCGTGCACGTGCATCAGTAAGGGCGGTTAATATATTTCTATACTATTTTGCATATATCAAAATATGACACTTAATGTTGATGATTGTAACTTAATTTATTGAGTACTCAATGATAACTGTGTCAGTGTGTTTGTTGTTCTCCCCTAAGACTATTACTTGTAATGCATAGGTATATCAACGCCGAATTCCTCGAACCCAGTGGAAATTGTATGGTCAACTAGTTCAGAAACTATATTTCTTTTATGTACGCATTCGTGCTTGGTGAGTCCAGGCTACATACACAGTAGGATATATTAATGCAATACAAATTGTAAGACGTTGCTAAAAGTAATAATACTTACGGATTCCAGGAATTCCGTTGTCTCCAGGGAGGCCTTGTGGACCAGGGGGTCCTTGCAATATTGACACTAGAAGAAGAGGGGGAACAATGATAGAAGTCAGCACATACAGTTATAAAACAAACAATCACACGAACAAACTACTAACCAATGATGGACCGGTAAATGAATCAAAACAATACAACCAAGTGGTCTTGTTACGCTGATCAGGAGAATCTCAACAGCAAGCTAAAATACAGTTCCATAATGTTGACAGTTCACGCGATAAACATTCCGAATATTTGTTTATTGGCTCACAATTATAATCACATTTTGACGTGCTTTTAATAAAGAATAAGAAAGCACTTTCTATTGGTTTAAAACACATCTACTTTATCACTGTCTGAGGTTCGTTTACATTCTGAAAGAAAAAACGACAATAATACTATTCCGACAATAATACCATTCCGAAGTGTACTATCCGGGAAAAGCATATTTCCTGATGTTACGTCACACTGTTGTATAACACTTTTACATTTTTTGGAATGTCTTGGTTATTGCATATGCTCATAACTGAAAAGACAACTTACAGTCTCAG